CACAGAAGCTGAGGTGGGGAGAGCTCTGGTGGAAGTCTGCAAAGCCTCCAGCGCGTGTCCTTGGTGCTGGCCCTGTCTGCCGTCCCCAGCCCTGACCCGGCGACCGCAACAGGGCTGCGCTCTGGGTCTGGCCAGAGCTCTGTGCCTGCCTACTGCCATCTCTGCTGTCCTCCCACACTGCTGGCTGCCACGAGGGGCGAGCGATGTCCCCTTGGTTCGTAAGTTTCAGTCCTAACCCTGGACCCCAGCTCAGCACCGTGTTTGGAGAGGGCCTTGGAGAGACTGTCTAGTTAAAGTGAAGTCAGCAGCGTGGGTTTGAAGCCTAAGATTGACGTCATCCTTAAAAGAGGAGGTTAGGACACAGGCACAGAGCAGGGGACCCGGTGAGGTCGAAGGAAGGTAACGCCCCCCCCCAGGGCCCGGACCTGGGAGTTCTACCTCCAGGACCAGGATGGGGAATAGGTTCCTCTCCTCCAAGCTGCAGGGTCTCAGATGTTGGCAGTGAGGAAGAGGGGCTTTCCTCATTACTCTGTGGCCACCATTTGTACTAAATGATAACGATAACAAGCCGGTTGTGGTGGTGAACACTTGCAATCCCAGCACTGAGGAGGCTGAGGCTGGAGAATTGCTGCCAGTTCAAGGCCAGCCTGTAACACGTAATGAGACTCTGTCTCCAAAGAAAAAAAAAAGCAAAAACAATTGAGCAATTAATTTACCTTTCTTACTCCTATATAATGGGCCAATAAAAATATCTTGCTTTCTATTGGTCAGTGACATTCAACATGAATTATAAAAGTGCTAAGATAATAACAGTGCCCTTCAAAAAGCCCCTGTCCTCTGTCCACCCAGACTGCTTGCTACTTGGTGTAGAGAGGAGGGGGCGACCTGTGATGCTGTAGTCCCTGTGGGTGGTGACTGCTTTTATGCACTTGGAGAGAGCATGGCCCATCCTGGCTTGTGAGTCGATTTCCTCCTACAGGTGAAACAAAGGGGGGACTTAGAGTTTTGTGCAGCTTCTCTTAGAATCCATGCCATGAGGAGTAATTTTACGCAGCCACAGACCTTGTGCATGCACAGCTGCCTCTGTCCTCGGCTTGACCTTGTTCCCTTCCCTCTGCAAGGCTCTGCTCTCTCCACCCCAATTGCTCACTTTTTGTCTGGGTGCTGGTCGGTGGCCTAGTTTTGGTCCGTGTTTGCATTTCCCGAGTGCATCTGAATTTCCCTTCGGTTGATGCGATGGAGCTGGTTACCCAGAACTCCAGCACCCACAAGGTTCCCCCGAGCCTGCTGGATGCCGGTAAGGGGCATCCCCCATGGGCAGCATGACATGGGGAGCAGGCAGGAGAAGTGGGCCTTGGAGGAGCAGGCCCGGGCTCCTGTTGGAACCTGGAAAACCCACCGGAAGTGAATGTGTTCCAGATTCTGCGGGCTCCTTCCCAGGAGTCAATGCCAGGGGAACTGTCCGTGATTCACACAAGCTGAACCCCGGTTTACCCATGGTCTGCTGCTTCAGGGAGAGGTCGTGCAGCCGCACTGCCCAGGCATTCATAGAGAAACCGGTAGGAAAACGTCCCCCTCGGTATGGCTCTGCGCGAAGTCACATTTCCCGGGAAATAGCAACAGAGAAGCCGAGTGTGCTGCACAGCTACACTCATCAGAAGGCAGACAGGGTGGGCAGAGGCCAGGGCCCCGACCTGGGGAGCGGGAGGTGGCTGGGCAGCAGAGTCTTCCCCGGCACTCAAGCTCTCCGAGGGCCTGGGCTGCGCCTGTCGCCACAGCCTGTTGTTCACTGGGGATGCAACAGCGGGTCTGAGCTTGTGTGTATGTGCACACTCACAACTGCAGATAGGCACACTCTGCCAAGCCCAGTGCACACACAATACATGCATGGCCACGCACAGCTACTCACACACAAACACAACTGCAGAATGCACTTATCTCCCATGGTGTGAGCACATAGCCGGCACTCTCACACACAGACTCCTGCCCTGTAACGCACTCAAACCCGGCATGCCCCATACACCCGTGGCCACGCCCAGGGCCGTCTGGTGGGGTGCAGGTGGCCCCTCCTGCCCGGGTCCCATGGACCCTTGGGCTCCTTTGGCGCCCACACAGCCAGGTGCAGGCTGGGCTCGGCCTGTTTGTTTGTGGTCGTCCTTGGTAACTGCAGAGATTGGGCCTCGGAGCCAGAGAGGAGGCCATAAAGCGCTGTCACTGGGGCCCTGGCCTTGGTCCCACCCGCAGCCCTCCCTGCCGAGCTCCCAGCCTCCCTGTGCTCCTGGCCCCTTTGCACCTGACTCCCGTGATGAGGGAGGAGGTGGCTTCCTGCAGGACAGCCTAGCGCCTGGGGCAGCTGGTGTCATTTCCCATCTGTGAGCCCTGCCCGAGGCCCCTGCTGAGCCTCAGTTTCTCCTGCCGGCTCCATCACTGGGGCACAGGGGCTGCTTTGGGGGAGTGTGCCTGGTGCAGTGGCCCTGACAGCTCCCCTGAGTGTGAGCCTGGCCCTGTCCCAGCCCTGGGTGCCAGCAGGTGGTGGTGGCCTGCAGACCCGGGAGTGGGACTGGAGGCAGCACCCAGCTGTGCAGCAGGCGCGGCCCAGCAACAGGAGGCCTTGCACCCAGTCCCGTCCCCTCTCGGCAGACTCGCTGAGATCAGAAGTGTGCGTCCTGCACCTGCAGCCCATCCACGTCCTCATGGTGCCCTTGGCCCTCCTGATCCGCAGTCTCTGTCCCGGGGGCTCCCGTCCTGCAGCCTGGCTCAGCTGCAGCCTAGAACCCATCCTGGTGTGGACACCTGGTCATGCTTCCTGCTGAATTGTTCATGCCCCGAATTTGCACAAATGTTAATGACAGGCAGCCGCCGCTGTTGCACCCTGTGGGATAGTTTCACTGCCCTAAGAACTATTTGGGCTTCACATATTCCTCCCTCCTCGCTCCTGGTAACTGCTGCTTTCTGTTTACCATCTCCAGTTGCCTTTCCAGAAAGTCCTGCAGTTGGAGTGGTTGGCAAGCAGCCTTTTCAGGTCACCCTCCTCCACTTAGCAGTACGCGGCTCTTGTGTCTTTCCCTCCCTTAATGACCCATTTCTTTCTGTCCCTCAATCACACAGTGCTGTGTGGGGCACACATAATGCTTTCAAGGCGGGCACTCTGCTCTTTGCATGTCTCTCGCCGGCGTGTTGCGCGGAGGCACCAGGGGACGCAGCGCTTGGGGTGGCATTGACCACAATGCTCCATTAACCGCGGTCTCCTTGTTCAAGGCCACTGGCATCCTATGAGAAGCTGTAACTTTCTGTGTTTCCAAAGCTGTGTGTTAGTGTTCGTATTCCATTTATTTATCTCTTCTCTCGTCCATCCATCCAGCTGTAATGAGTGGAGAGCACGCGGATGAAAAGGAAGCGTGCCTGTGAGCCAGCTGCTGTGTGTGCAGAAGGGGGAGCCATCGAGAGGGCAGGCAGGTGCCCTTACAGAGGACCCCTGACTGCGACAGGGCATGACTCAGAGCTGTGGCGGAGTAATGACGAGTCCCAGATGCATGAGTAGCCCTGTGTCTCATCTTCTCTGAGGAACTTAACTAAGATAAGCAAGAGCTATAAATAGTTGCCATAGCAAGAACCAAAGTCACACGGACACCCACTCCGAACTACAAGGACAATTAGTCAGATGCTGGCTTCTCTTTCCTTTCCATGTTCAGAGGCCCTCAGATTGGAGGTGTGCCAGGGATCTGGAGGTGGGAGAGCCAGGAGGAAGTGGAGTGTGAGGCAGCTCATGGGGAATGAAGTCCTATTTGCTGGAAGCAGGTCCTGGTCAGCCTCCCAGAGTAGCAGAAAGCAAGTGTGAGGCCCTCAGTACACATGACTCCATCTGCTCAGGGAGAGCTGTGTTCCTGTGGACAGACCCTGCTCTGTGCCAGCTCTCTTTTGAGCGCCTCAGACACTGTCTCCTAGACCTCACAACTGGCCTGCGAGGAAGGTGCTGCTACTACCTTTAGTTTCAGATGGGGAAACTGAGGCCAGAGAAGTTAAAGGCTGGTAAGTGTGGAGGCAGAGATCTGACCTAGACTGAACAGCCAAGGTGGGCTCCTTTTCTCCATTGGGTCAGTCATTCCTGATACCTTTACCTATCTGGCTTGGGTTTTAGTTGTGTTCTTACTACTGTGACTCCGGAAACTTACCCACTGAGTTATATCTCCGGCCTTGGTACTGGGGATCAAATTCAGGACCTTACGCTTGCAAGGCAGGCTGTGGAACCACTGAGCTAAATCCCCGGCCCCCAAAAATATATATTTTTTAAAATTTTGAGACAGGGTCTTGCCAAGTTGCCTGGGCTCAGCTTCCCAAGTTCTGATGTTATAGGTGTGTGGCGCCATACTCAGCTGCATATGTCTTTCTTTCTTTTTATTCATGAAGTTTATTGATACATTTTAGGTATACAGTATGATGACATTAATCATTGGGAATTTGTTGTATATGTCTTTCTTAATGAGCAGTCTCTTCTTCAGAAGACCGTGATACAAAGGAAACGCCTTTCCACTGTCTCATGTGCTGAGTGCAATAAACAGATTTAGATTGTTTTCAGATCCACTTGTAGAAATAGTTCTGGAAAAGACAGGCCATTCAAACCATGCTCCAGGGTGTGGGTACAAGAAGCAGGGGTAGCTTGAATACCGCTCTGCAGAGTCCCCCACTTTCCCTGGTCCCAACTCCCCCTCGCCAGTAAGGGAGGACTTAGAGACTCAGTTCCTATCTTGGAGCCCATCAGTTCTTCGAAGTTGAGGTGAAATTCTGTGTCTGTGAATGACGTGCATTTTTACTGGGACGAGGCTCCATGGTTTTTATTAAATTCTAAAAAAGACCTGGACTTTGCAAAAGCTAACAAAAACTGGACTGTATGAACTGCGAGTCTTGTCCATCTGGAGATGCTGCAACTCTGACTGTGGCCGTGGTGGGGGCAGCTTGAGCTCGGGAGGAACCGTGGCTCACCTGTTTCTTCTCCTCCCCAGGTGGTGGTGCCCTGTGGCGTGGAAGCCCCCCAGGAGCAGGTGAGTCTTGCATTTGCTGGGGATGGTGGCATCTGCTAGGACCGTGTCTGGGAGTCCTCTTTGGGGTGTTTTGGTGCTGAGCTCTGCAGCCACCTTTGTCCTCTCTGCCAGGCTGCTTGTTTTCCTTGAGAGGAGAGCATCCTTTGTACGAACCGCCTTCACGATCAGTAAACCGGAACTCAGGGGCTTCATGTACCGGGCTGCCCTGGGGTGAAAACGTGAGCACTGACAGGGTGGCTGTGTGGGGCGTAGGCTGTGTGGATTTGGGAGTGTTCGGCTCTGACAAATGCCTTTTGAGGACAAGCATGTGGGAGCACTTTCTCTTTGGTTTGTCATTAAGTAAATACAAATTTCTTTTGAGTTTTATTTACTTATTTCTTTTGGTTGTTTTTTGGTTTTTGGGGTTTTTTTTTGGTGCCGGGCATCAAACTCAGGACTTTGTGCTTTCGAGCAGGTGTGGTGCCACTGAGCTAAATCCCTGGCCCTCTTTGGTTTTTTTTTGAGACTGTGTCAGGACAGGGGCATCACCACCAGGTGCCAGGATCTTAGGGGGAAGCTGCGGCCTCTGAAGTATCTGTGGGCCGCCTGTGACTGTGTCCACGTGTGTCTCCCCGAGTTCCCCGTGCACAGATCCTCCCGTGCTCCCTGTGAACCGTGACCCGTGACCCTTTCCTTTCCATGTGGCCCAGGCCAGCAGACCCCCTGCAGCCGGAGCTCCGGGAGGGGCGCCATAATAGTGTCTGAAGAAACCCTCGGGAGCAGTGCGCCAGGTGTGAGTCCTCTCCCGCCCCTGTGCTGGGGCTGTAGAGTAGACAGTGCCTCTGGACAAGAGGCTTTGTTGCCCAGGGTGTCATTCTCAGGACAGAGAAGGGCGTCCTTTTCTCTCTGCTGGTCCTGCACGGCCCAGCAGTGTCCTGGCCCGGGGCCCGGCACTTGGGATTGGCACAGATGTACTTTGGGGTCCCTGTGTGTTGCCTTGGGAACCGTGGGCTGGTGGGCTCCCAGCCGGGCCCCTTGAAGGCAGCTTGTTTCCTGTGAGCCACTCCTTGGCTATGTACCTGCTTGGTATCGCATGCTGAGGTCTTCTCTGAGCTCAGGAAAGCGAGGCGACTCCCCAAGGTCAAGGCCATTGCAACCTGAGAGGCCATTGCAGGCCTGTGGCTGAGCTCCTGCCGCACTCACTGGGACTGCTGCCTTTGGGGTGAGCCAGATGAGGGTAAATCGGGATGAGTTGAGTTGGGGGGAAAACTTCCCTTCTGGTAGTAAAAGTCGGAGGAAACCAGGGTCCTTCAGTGCCCGTGCAGTGAAGGAGGATGGGGGCCCCTGGCCACTGTGGCTGAATGGAGTAGCGGAGCCCTCGCGCTGACTCCCAGCCCTGGCCCGAGCTGACGCACTGCACCCTTCCGGGGTCTCCCAGGGCCCCCTCTGCTCCCCTGTGTTGTCGGGAGTCCTGGGGACTCTCATTCTCGCCCGTGACTCTCTGGGGTTGGGAGCAGGTGGCCACTCGCCTTTCCGCTGCTCCTAGGTGGCTGTGGCTGGTGGTCGGCTCTGAGGCCTCCCGATCCTCCCCGTGGTCTGAGGTCCCTGTGTGCGCCTCTGAGCCCCGCGGGCTTCACTCCAGGGTCAGCCCGAGAGCCCCTCTGCTGGAGTCCTGGAGCAGTGCAGGCTGGGCTGTGACTGCATCCTTCGCGTAGTTTACAGATGGAAGCCACCACGGCCATGCTGCTGGAGCTGATGACAGCCCATGGCTAACTGTGGAGCATCGTCTCCTTGACGTCACGCCTGCTTGGCTCAGTTGTCTGTGGGGACACAGAAGTGTTCCTGGCCTCCTAGGGGCGGTTAGGACATAAGCAGGCGGAAGCCTTTGCTACGGCTAGTCTCTATCCGTGCAGTTGCTGGTTTTTTGCTTTTTCAGTACTAGGATTGAACCTAAGACCTTCACATTGAGGTGTGTCCCCAGCCCATTTCTTATTTTTTATTTTGAGACAGGCTCTTGCTAGGTTGCCCTGTTGCCCAGGGTAGGCTTGATGTTGTGATCCTCCTGCCTCAGCCTCCCAGAGTGCTGGGATCACAGGTGTGTTCACCCAGGCCCGGCTGATCCTGTGGTTGTTCCATGAGACGCCTGCTTTTCTCTGTCTTTTCTGCAGCACAGCCTGCTGTGCATGCTGTAGCTTACATAAGTGCAACATGCATTTAAACAGTGCATGGACTATAAGCATCCATCACTGTGGTGGGCACCAGAAGCCGCAGGCCAGAAAACCAGGAATCAGCAGAGAATCATGGGGCATCGCGGAGGACGGCGTGTGCTGGGGAGCTGTCCTCAGCCAGCCCAGGTCACAGGACCCTGGTACTTCGCAGGTGCAGAACGGTGATTGTTTTATTTTTATTTTTTATTTTTTTGGTACCGGGGGTCGAATTCCAGTCCTTGCGCTTGTGCAGCAGGCGGCGAAACCACTGAGCTAAATCCCCAGCCTGGTGATTGTTTTAGAACGAGCTGTCGCAGTGTGACCTCCTCAGGGCCTTCGGCTGTCTGTGACCAGACAGGGGAGGCTTCATCGTCTGCCCGTGTCCCGCTGTGTCCCGGTGTGTTGTCCTGGAATCCACAGTGCTGAGGCATGGCTGTGACCCAGCTCCTCTGTAGGTCTATGCACGTGTACACGCCTGTGGCTGCGTGTGCACACGTGTGGGTGGAATGGTACACAGCGTGGGAGTGCCAGTCAGGCCGGGAGCCGTGTGGCCTCTCTGTGTGGGTTCTGCCGAGCTCCTCTGCCTCAGGGGCGCCTCCCCACCTCGAGGGGCCGCTGTGAGCACGGAGTTCAGCGTCGCGTTCAGGTTCCCAGCGCTGCTCTGACACCTGGTCTGACACCCTCGGAATCCACAATGAATGGCCTCGGAGCCTGGAGCCTCGGCTTGTGTTTGTCTGGTTCTCCTGCCACCCATGGGTGCAGGGACCCGGTCTGATGGGCTGTGGACCTGGGCCTTTGTCCTTCACCTCCTGAGGACGCGGTGTGGGGCTGGGCGCTTGCAGCACCTGGGTCCTGTGCTCCCGCTTGGAGATGAGGATGGGAAGCCCGGGGGAGGGCGGTGAGGTGAGCGCAGGGCTTCGGGTGCAGCACTGGTGTCCCGGGGGCTGCAGGTTCGCAGGCTCCTCTCCCTCAGACTGCTCTGACTGCGGCCCATGGGGTTTCCATGCCCTTCTCACCTTCACCTCTGTGTACCTGCGGGAGTTGGTCCTGGTGTGGTCACGCCTTCTGTGGGAGACTCAGGCCCTGCCAGCACTCCTGGGCAGCCAGGTGCCTGTTCCGGGGAGCGGCCCGGCCAGCCCCATAAAGGGCAGCACTGTTAGCAGCGTGGCTGGGTCCTTGAAGGAGGCTCCGCCTTCTGGTGGCCACGTGTGGGCAGCACTGAGGACAGCGCGCCGGTCCTCTGGGAGCAGGTGTGGAGCCCTCCCGCGCCCATGCGGACATGGAGGGCCTGGGCTGTGCTGCCTTCTCTGCCCTGGGGAGGCAGTGGGAGAATCATTTCTGGTTCAGAGTGGTTTCCTTCTCTTTGTGTAATTGAAGCTCAGCCAGCAGCTGTGTCAGTCAAAGGTGACCTCAGGAGTCAGGTTACAGGTCTGAGGCTGGCATTCACAAGCTGGATTCTAGCAGCTGCAGGCCTGGACTTGTGTGCGTGTCTGTGGGGTGTGTGTGTGTGTGTGTGTGTGTGTGTGTGTGTGTGTGCATCCACAGGGTGGATGTCTTTGTGCTGTGTGTGCATGCGTGGGGTTTGTGTGCATGTCCATGTTGTGCTGTGTGTGGGTGTGTGGTGTGTGTGCATGCATAAGTGGTGTGGATGTATCTGTGCTTGTGTCGCATTGTGTGCATGCATGGGTGTGCACACCTGTCTGTGTTGTGTGTGCACGTTTGGTATGTGTGTGGTATGTGTGTTTGTAGTCTGTGCATGTTGGCCTTTGTTCAGTAAACTTTGCTTGAACTCAGAACCACAGGGCAGGCCCCTGAGCGAGCGACAGGGTCACCAGGACGAGGTGACGTTACAGCCAGCTCAGGAGCTTCCTGGCTGATTCTTCCTGAGGCGCTGCACCCACAGAGTGAGCGCCCGCCCAGACGAGGGGCTTCAAATGGTGAAGGAACTCACCCTACCCTTCGTGTTACTGGGCGTGAAGCAACTGCAGATTTCAGCAGAGCCCTGCTTCCCCCACCGGGGACTGGGCTGGGGGCTCCGTGAGGCAGGACACAGCCTCCAGTCCTCTGGATGGCTTTGCTCTCAGGCCGGGTCTCCTCTGGTGGCCCTGGTCCAGAGAGGTCTCTGCTCCTCCTACCCCTCCATGGCCCGAGGTCTAGGTGTTTGGTTTCGCAGTAACGATTTCCCGCTGGCAGAGTTTCCACCCCCAACGAACTTCAGAAACGAGGAGGGAGGGGCCTGCACACCCCGGGAAGCTCCCAGCTGTTCAGTGGTCTCTGGAAAAATCACCTATTCACACACGTGTGCGCCACATGCTTGCCTGGTCTTGCACATGCACATGTGTGCATGCACGTCCTAGACAAACATGCGTTCACACACAAGTTTGCCAGGCCCTGTGAAACACACACTCATGAGCACTTGCTCGCCCGATTCTGCATCCCTCCCTGCTGATCTCCCAGAAGCAGAGAGCAGGGACTCCAGCCGCCCCTTGGCCCAAGCCCAGGCACCTTCGGCCAAGAGAACCAAACTCCGCATTGTAGTTTTGGCAAAAGCCAGGCAAGAACCAGGAATAAAAACCAGACTGGTCTCACCTGGACACTTGGCTGCCCCAGCGAGGTGCTGCAGGTTCCTGAGCCGTGATGCTGGGGTGTCGGGGCAGTGGGAGGAGGAGCAGCAGGAGCGTGTGAGGGGGAGGCTGGCCATGCTCAGCAGCAGCCCTGGCCCTGTCCTTGCTCCGGATGTTGGGGGGGCTTGAGGCCACGTTCCCTCAGGGAGAGGTGTGGAGTCCTGGCTGCCACCCCTAGTCTGATGGGGTT